AAGCATAATTCAGGCAATTATGGGGGGAAACATGGGACACTTACATCTCACTGAAATATTTCATTCTTCGTAGACACATTTTCACTCCTCAAGTGGAGAATGACCATCAATGTCAACCAAATCAGAAAATTCTCTGTGTTGATGAAACCTTACTTATTAATGGCTGCTGTATGCCCAGAATAGAATCAAGATGAAAGACACTTCCCGGCTCCTGTGTCATGGAAGAGTATAGATGATCGGTGCCTGGAGCTGACTGATCTTGGCTGAAGCATAAGTTGACCCTAAAAGGCAGCATGATGGAAGTTTTCACTGTGAAGTGTCCCCCTATATAACATTGTGTAACAACAACCATGGCAATGCTTCTCCAAAGACTCCACGCACAACTGAGTCCAGCTTCCTTCAACTGGTGCTCTATTCCTACTATAACTGGACTGCTTCCAATTCGATTTTACCCCTCACCCGCTATGCCCAGTGGGTCCCTGTGGTAGTCATTACTTGTCTCCAAGATGTCTACTTTCCCATTCCCTCTGAGTGCACACCCCTTAAAGTTAGGTGAGGACCACGTGACTTCCTTTGGCCAGTGAGTCGTGAGAAGTGATCCGTGTCCGTGTCGTTTCTAGGGGAAAGGGTTTAGGGTTTGGTGTGCAGTTTTCCACACTCTGCCATTGCCATGGTGCTCACGGAGGGTCACAGGAGTGAAGCAGGCTAAAGTGGTGAGTCCCCATAGGAGCTGCCTGGGAGACGTGGCATGAGCAGGAAATTGACTTTTGTTGTATGAAGCCGCTGATGGTGTTTCCTACAGCAGCATAATCTAGCCTCCCCTCCTCTCACGAGCTCACTCACACTGATCACCTTTTAGGCAGCAGCCCACAGCTGTGTATGTGGGTGCCATACCAGTAAGTTTTATATATGTGTTGGCCCCATAATGAAGGCAAAGTCTCACAGCAATATCTGGGAGCAGTAGGAAGGCAACAGGGATAATCATACTGTGTCCCCCAAGTCCTTTCCGAGTCCCTGCAGCAGCCCTGAGGGCTGCCCAATGCAAATAACCATCTTGATGTATTACCAAGGAAGTACCAGTTTTATGGGAGGAGGGAGGGGCTTAAGTTAGAGCACACTGGGACTTCTAGGCCAGTGGAAAATTAGTGGAAATGCCCAGCGAGTAGTTGGTAATGCAGAAATGGGGGCTTGGAAATAGATTAAGGATGTAGGTATAGATTCAGGAGTAATCTCACACTTAAAAATTAAACATAAGATGTAAATAAATCTCCAAGAGAAATGGCAGAAACTGAGAGAAATAAAAAGCCAAGAAATGAGTCTTAGGAAACATTCATACTTGGGTGGGGGGATGGGATGGGGAGGTACAAAGAGAGGAGAATGGAGGAAGGGAGAGATGAGAATGATGGTGACAATATCATTCATTTTGAGAGCTAAGAATACCACATCTTCATTAATAAATTCATTTAAATTTCAAGATTTTTAATGAGGATAAAAACCGTACTGCCCCTGAACAATCCTTTTACTCCCTCAGATATTAAAATAGATTACCCATCTGACAGGCAGCTGGACATCTGTAATAGAGAGCAAAATGGCTTTTTAATTCAGTGTCCCAGAATCATTTATCAAGATTTAAAGTTTTGCAGATGAAACAGAACTTTTTAAAAAAATATTTCAAAGTTTTTTAATAAACATATTTTGCGATTCATTTCCTTTGTGCTTGTTTTGTGGGATTTCCCTGGTTAAACCTAAAAATTGGCTTTTGTTTCACAGATCCAGTGTTCTATGCTGACAGTAGAACTGGTTGACAAAAATAACATTTAAAAAAAACTTTAAAATATCCAAATGGAAATAGCCATCCTGTGGTGCTTCAGGAGGTGTTCTCGGATCGTACACAGATGGCTTTTCCAAGCCACTCCCACTACTGGATACTCCCTCGTGGCACAAACTATCTAGTTCACTGGGAAATGTGTTCCCTAACACCTTTCAGTGTTTAATCCTTTTTCATGAAATTGTTTCCATTGTCACAGAGGTCAAGTTCCCCCAGGGCTGAGGGCAGTCAGAGCAGTCCTTGCCTCTCCATCACCAAGATTGAGTGCAGATCCCTGACCTCCCTGCAAGAAGGTTCTTGCTTGAAACAGAACGTTTAAGCATCTATGATTTGCTCTGCATTGCAGTTGTCCAATTACTTAACTTTATTCTACACATCCGGCCAGTGCCAGGTCCTCTGGGGCGCAGTGGCCATCCTTGGGCTGGCTGCCTTTACCGGGGCCATTCCACATACCACTCCCCCTGCAGGTATGCTGGGGTTTGTGCCAGCTTCCTCCTGCAAGGGTGCCACCCAGCAATTAACATTTCCTAAGCCCCACATAAATGTGCCAGGCACTACACTAGGCACTTCAGACGAGTTTTCTCATTTAATTTTCAAGATCGAGGTGGATGTTAGTCACATCGCTGTTTCACAGCTTGGGAGGCTTAAATGCCAAGAAACCTGCCTAAGGTCACAGTGTTGCAGTCAGCATTCAAAACAGTTTGGCCAGTGCCCAAAGGGGTGCTCTCAGCATTGCTTCTCCAAGTGTGGCCCTCCAGCCATGTGCAGAATCTCAGGATCACCCCCAGTCCCACTAAATCAGACTTTGGCTTTAACAAGGCCCCCCTGTGACCTCTCTGCACATGACTGTGGTGAGCACTGGGCTAAGTCACCCACCACGCAGACCTCACTGTCATGGATGCCGGGGGAGGAGGAGACTGTCTTTCTCCTGAGCTGCAATCTGGGCGAAGAGGGGAGGCATCATGCATGTTATCCAAGGGTAAAGGGAGGGATCCAGACAACAGGTTCTTGCAGCTTCAGACACGGGGTATCCGCAAAGCGAGGGACCACTTCCAGCAGCAGAAGGTACCGAGCCGCATCCTGACAGGTTCTCAATGCACCTCATTCAGGAAGAGGCGTCCAGGTCGGTCCTCTGGAAGGAAGGGATCCAGCCTGGACCCCATTTCCCCCAACAGAATGCAACTATCAACAGCACCAACCATCGAGCAGACTTGAAACCTCCATAAAACTTGCAATCATCAGCTCGCCCACCGCATGACTCGGCTCAGAATTCCTGGTGTGGTTCATAAAGTTCGCATTGAAACAGTCCGCATCCTCTGATCAGTTACTTCTTCCCAGGCGCTAGTGTAAACCCTAGGCCGCAGGAGGTGCGCGTGGCTGGGTGCGCAGCCCCAGTCCCAGGGATCCCGTGGAGGGTGGAGTAGGCTGGAGCCTTCCCAGCCCCTGCTCCCCGCCGAGACGCCGCCTCCCCCACCCAGCTTGCCCCCACCCGCCCCGCTCCCCGGGGCACTGCATGTTAGGTCACCCACTCCCCCTGGGTCCTAACCGGCGTGCCACCTCCCCCCTGCCCCGCAGGCGGACCATTTCGGACCCCCCGGACCCCTCCCCGGCGGGGTCTCCACCCCGCACCCCCGGGAAGGGGCGGAGGCGGCGCGGGCCGGGCGCCGGGGGTGGACCGGCCGAGCGGCGGCGGCGGTCACGTGGGCGGAGGCGGGGCCGGGTGGGAGGAGAAAACAAAGCCCCCGGCTGTCAGCGCGGACCGGGGCGACCGCCGGAGCAGGTGAGTCAAGTGCATTTAAAGCGGTACCGCCCCGCGCACCCCGCATCCCGCACCCCGGCCCCGGCGCGGTGCCTCCCAGGCCCGGCGCTGGCATCGCCTGCTCCCGCCGCCCGGGGGCTGCAGTCGCCGCCGCCGGCTGAGCCTGCGGGACCGGCCGGGGGTCTCCGAGCCCGGAGAGAACTTGCACGGGGTCCGGCCCGCGCCCCGGGGGTGGTCCCCGCCACGTTCCCGCGGCCGCCGCCTCCCGGAGCTCCAGCGCCGCGCACCCCGGGAAGCGGGGGAGTCGGGCTGCCACGCTGGCAGGACAGAGCGGACCGGCTCGGGGTGAGGGAGGGACGCTGGGCGCCGGGAAGGAGCGGGTTTGCGGGTGCGCGTCCGCAGCGCACCGACTCTGAGGCGCCGGAGTTGGGGCGCGGGGCCGGGAGCCAGAGCGCTGGCGGAGCTGCGGGGCGGGCCAGGAAGTGCCGCGCGCGGGCGCCCGCCGCACCCCCCTCTCCCCCCCGCCACGGCGGGGAGCAACCCCGGCCGCCGACCCTGCGCTTCCCCGCGCTTCCCTCCGGCCGACCAGCCCCCCGCCCCCCCCCCCGACTCTGCCCCGGCGCCCCGAACCGGAGCGGGGTGGGTGGGAGCAGAGCTCCTCTGAGACGGTGGTTCTGCAGAAAGCACCCCGCGCGCTGGGCGAGGGCCACTCCGCGACCCCCCACTCTGCCCCCAAAGGACATCCTTCCAGGGGGGCTGTGCCAGGGCCAGGAACCCCACGCAGGGCCCGGGGCGAGATGGGCGCAGAGAGGCGCCCCCGGAGCGCCCGGCCGGCCATGCAGCTTGTGGAGCCTCGGGGGAGACTGAGTCACCCCGAGACCGGGTCACCCAGAGCCGCCCGCGGAGGGCAGAGCTGTGGCCTCGAGGGAGGGGCGCTGCGCCGGCTGCTCGGGCGGAGCCTTTGCCCCCCCCCCCTGCACCCAGGCCCCTCCCGCCGGCCTCGCGGGCCGCAGCGCGTGGAGTGATGGATGTTCCTAACCCTGCCCGTCCTCCCGTGGGCACCAGCCCGCAGACTGTCTCCCCCGCGAGCTTTTCTCCATCCTAGCTCCTCGCTCACGTTCTCTTCCCCCCCCCCCCCCAAAAAAAAGCACGGTGGTCCAGACCCGCCGGGCCGGGGAGGTCCCTGCCCTCCCCCAGGGCGGTCACCCAAAGCCGGGGCAGGGCGCCCACGCCCACGGGCGGCGGAGCTCGGTCATTAGTCGTCCCTGCCCCGGAGCGAGCGGAGCGCGCAGTCCCGTCCGTCCGTCCCGTCCGTCCGTCCGTCCGTTCGTCCTGGTGGCGGTGTGCGCGCCGCTCGAGCTTCTCCTCGGAGCGGACCGCGGGCTCTCAGCCCGGCCCCCCAGACCCGTGGGCATGAGGCAGAACCGGGACCCGAAGGTAACGAAGGCTCTGGGTGTCCCGCAGGCAGAGGGGCCGGGGCCGGGCCGGCCGGGGTCCCTCCCCCGGGAAAGGCGCCCCTGGCGCTGCTGGCGCCATTTCCGCCGCGCTCACGAGGGCGGACATCGGGGGTCGGGGTCTGCAAGGTGGACCGTCTGGGGGCCCACCCAGGGGTTCAACTGAACCGGCCGGTTTCTCTCTGGGGGGCGGGGTGGTCGATGCTTCAAAGCTCTAAACTTTGCTGCCCTCACAGCCACCGGGGAGCTGGGAGGGATCCCGACGCCCATCTCGCACCCCCATCCCTTTAAGCCGCCTGTTGGAGGCGGGAGCAGGCTCAGGGTTTCGCTGGAGCCCGGGGGGCCCGGAGGGGGGGTGATGGGGGGCCTCCCGGCGCCGCGGGGCAGCGGGTTTGAGAATGACTGGCCAGCATGCGCGGGCTGGGGAGACAAGATGCCAGCTGCACTCCGTGGGTGGGCAGGCGGGGGGTACAGACGGGAAACGGGGGCGCCGCGGAAGAACGCCCCAGGGCGGGGGGCTAGGGTCCGTGCGCTGAGCCGGCGGGGCACCTGCCGCCTCTGGGTGGTTCTCGGTGGGAAGATCGAGGGTCCCGGCCAGGGCCCGCCCGCCGCACGGGCAGGTGGCGAAGGCGGCGGGTAGAAACTTTGGTTCCGGCGCCGAGTCACGTGGAGCCGGCGGGGGGGAGCCCGCAGACACACACACACACACACACACACACACACACACACACACACACACGGTGAGTCAGCAGCGCCGCGCGCCGGGCGGGGCGGGGAGTGGGGAGGGAGGACTCGGAGGAGCGGTAGGCTCGCCCCGAAAGCCCGCCGCTCCTTCGAAAGTGCGTTTGCTTATCTGACCGCGATCTGGAGGCCCGCCCTTTTCCAGTTCCTATTCCACCCGCCCGGGAAGGTTCTCTCCCGGGAGGAGGGGGGACCGGGAGGCAGCCAGCGGGACCCCCTCTTGTCATCTCTCTGGTGCTGAGGCTTCGGGAGAGGAGCTCTGGGGGGAGCGTGAGCTCGCCTGGGTCCTGGGCCTGCCAGTGTTTCAGTTGTGAGACAGAGAGGATGCATTGCAAGACACACATTTCAGATACAAAAGAGTCAAATGCTGTTTGACTGGAGGTGGGTTAGAGGGTCTGTTTAAATAGAAATGGTTATCCCTAACATTTTATTTACATGGAACTTTATGTTGGCTATTAACCCAAAGTTTCCTGCTTAAAATCAAACAAAATAAAAGTTATCCCCAAGGGATCAGCCTAAATAAGATGGCCTGCTTAAAGATGTCCACAAAGTTTATTAAATACTTACTTTTCTTATTTGTATTAGTTTTAGTTTTTATACTTCTCCTTTCTAAATGTTTTTTTTTTTTTTAATCCTCACCAGAGGATATTTTTCCCATTAATTTTTTTTTAGAAAGAGTAGAAGGGAGGGAGGAGAGAGAGAGAGAGAGAGAGAGAGAGAGAGAGAGAGAGCCATCAATTGCTTACCTCCTGCTACCAGGCTGAGGATTTGGGATCAAGCCTGCAACCCAGGTATGTGCCCTGGACTGGGAATCAAACCCAAAAACCTTGGTGCCCAGGGCCAAACCCTCTAACCATTTGGCAACATTGGCCAGGGCTGTGTGTGTGTGTATGTGTGTGCGTGTGTGTGTGTGTGTGTGTGTGTGTGTGTGTGTGTATGAGACCATGACTCTCTCTACCATTGCCGAAATGCTTTCTTTCCCATTCTTAGTCTCTTATGGAGAGACAGCAGTGCCTGGCACATGGCAAACTCCACACTGGCAGCTACTGAATCTGAACCTTGCCCAGCACTTACTTCCCTGGTGTGGTGTTCTGTTGTCTGTGTCTGCAGCCCCTTAGCACAGAGCACAAGGCCTCGCTTGTTATGGGTGCCGCTGTTAGTCCTGAACATTATCAGAGGGTGGGGTGAGCACTTGTGAATAAAGCATCCGGAGCGCATTCAGTTTCATTGTGAATACTAGGAGCCAAAGTTCTGTGACACTTCTTAAGGGCTACCAATGGGCAGCCCATTTGCTCACTTACATTTTTACAAAAAACAATTTAGCCTTCTGAGCACAACCAACAACTGTTACAATACTTAGGTCACAAAAGTTCACTCTGTACCCATTTTGGGGGGGGGGGAGGGGGAACACCTATCCAACTATGTGTATGCCTCAAGGGATTCATTCGGCTCTGAGAGTTCTGTCAGAGAAGGACAAACAGCGGGTTAATAGTCAAACAGCTCTTACTGTCATCTGCCTACTGCTTTCATGAAGACAGCACACGCATATTTAAATAGCCAGCATATTTCAGAGTGGGAAGCTCAATGTATACTTTGACTTGCACCACCAAAAATAAATGTTAAGAGTGTCCCCAAGGCTTCTGTGTAGCTTAGAAAAAGACCCAGGATGCACTTCTGCAATTACCACCACTTTTTTTGGGAGGTGTGAGATACTGAGAAGCTGAAATGGGACGAACCCAGATGGACCAGAAACTGTTCCTCAGAGGGTGGCTGACACCCAGCTCTGTAACGTTTACAGGTGGGACGGAAGGGGGAGGTAGAAAGAAAGGAAACCATTTCAGCTTCGGAAGCTCTGAAATTTTCGAGAATCGATGAGAACTGCCCGGTCTTATTACCTTAAATGTATCCCGCCCTCCAGTCTTAGTAACATAGTAGGGCCTACACAGAATGGGGTAAATAGGATTCCCACGTGCCAAATAGCACAAGAAAGCCCAGAGCGTAAGCGATCTTCCAAAGGGGCGATGCCGAGGTGAGAAACCTGGGGTACTGATGCCTTTGCCGGTTCCTATGACGTCACACTGCACGCTTCTGGAATCCGTTTTGATGTCACACCGCTCAGAGGCGTTGGCGGTACGAGCCCAGTTCTAACGCCCCCCTCCCTCCTTCAGATAGGAGAATCTCTTCGCAGATGGCATGCTCGCACTGGTTTTACTCCGCCATCATCTTGGGCCTAGGCCCACCCCGAACGTTCTGAGCCGCGGTTTGCTTCTTACCTGGGTGACCGAAGTAAGTTTTTAAATCCTTGCCCAAGTCATAGAAGCAAAGCTCTCTCAGGGGCCCTTCAATGGCAGTTGCGCCAACCCAGGAGCTCAAGTGCCCTGTCCAGCACCCTGAATAATTGGTCCTCTGACTCACCTTCCCATTCTCCTCCTCAACACATTCCAAGGTTGGGAGGCTCTCTGCAGCACCACCTTGACTGAGAGCGCCAAGAGGCGATCCAACTCTCTTACGTCATCACCTGCAGCCGCCCAAAGTGAATGAATTCTCCTCCATCAGAAAAAATCTGACTGTCGTATTTCCAATCTGTTCATTGCATACAACGTTTGCTCCCCACCGGCACCCAGAACTGTCCAGAGAAGCACTCTAAATTGTGGTTTGTTAGACCAGGGCTTTAGAGGATAGACGCACTGGAAAATGTGCTTCCAGCAAACCAGATCCACCAAGCCACAAACTTCACAAGTACATATTTAAGGTAAATTGCTATCTACTTATAAAGGCAGTCATCATTAAATAACAAGCAGATACGCATAGAATCTCATCGCTAAAGGCTGGCATTATGCCAGGGGCAATTTAGTTTGAAATTCCCAAATTTAAAAATAAATCAGATTCTGGTCTTCAAATTATTTGCCTTCCGCCCAAGGGTGGGCAGATTCCTCTGAAGATTCTACAAAGAATATCTGGAAGGACAATAAGTGCCTTGACAGAAACTCTTTTTTTGTAAGGGTTGCCTTTTATAAAATTTCCTTCCGTTGAGAGAACTTCCCCTTTCTGAGGACTGGTGAAGCCACAGACAATTTTCTCACTGAGATAAATAGAGCAACTTTAGGGGTTGCCCAGAGCTGGTGCCCCCCTCATCCCTTCCAGGATCAGTACACCTGCAGCCTAAAGATACAAAAGTGAAGATTGGAAAAAGAGGAGTTCCTTTCCCACTAAGTCAAACAAGGCAGCATCTGCCATTCAATGTGCGTAACGTTTGAGGTCCTTGAGATCAGCTAAATCATTTCTGAAGACAAACAAACAAACAAAAGTAGGCGTGCTTATTTCCATTCAAGTCTTGTTGGTAGTAAGTCGCCTCCTCAGATAACCCTGCAGTGTTCCCGCCAGGGAACAGAGCGGGCAGGGGAGGTAGATTGTGGAACTCCCATGCTGACCAGGTAAGCAGCCCCGTAAGTGAACTCACCTCTCCTCCCTTACCATCACGTAGATTTCACGTTCTTACTAAATATGTTTTCCTGCCGCCAATGCAGTACAGTCGGGTGTGTGCACGGACGTGAAATCAGAGCACTAGACTCTACCGTCTCACTGGGCGAGGCTGGGCAAGGCCTCCTTCAACCCGACCAGGCAACACCTTCCATGTACCTTCTTTCTTTCAAAGATCCTTTTACAGCCTATTAGCTTGCCAAAATGTGCTCCACTCAGAAGACCGTTTCATGAGTCTAACCAAGACCCCACAGCCTCTGATTCCCACCCAGCTTCTGCAGCCCTCCAGTGGCAGAGAGAGGGAGCTGGAAAACTCCCTCCTGCCTCGCCCCACCTGGTCCTTGCCGGAGGCAGCTGTTGAGATAAGACTTGTTCATTTAACTTTCGGCTTGGCCTCTATTATGATTTTTTTTTTAAGTGTGTTCTTCTGGGCACAAATCTCCTAAAAGGAGTTCCCCCAAATCGGCAGGAGGAATAGCCAAGTGCTCTGTGGGACTGGCAGATCCAGAAAGCAATTCTCTGAGCTGCTGGAATGCTTAAAGGATATTCTCAGAGGGTCTGTTAACTCTCTGTCATCCTTCTGCCGGATGCCTCCCCGGACCCTCAGCTCACCTGGCCTCCTCTCACATGGCACTGCCTCTAGATCCGTGGTCAGCAAACTGCGGCTCACGAGCCACAGGCGGCTCTTTGGCCCCTTGAGTGTTTAGCCAAGGCCAGCTTAGGAGTGCCCTCATGAAGTTACTAACGATGGACCTGCCTATA